TTTGCTCAATTATTTTGATAAATTCTGTTGAAGTTTTGCTGAAATTTTTTATAACTTTGTGAGATTTTAAAAAGCCTTATTTTTGTTCTGGCCACATCAGGTCAGGTTGATAAGTTTAAAGCATTTTTTATCAAAAAACAAAGTAAATTTTCCCAAACCAGGGCAAAAAATTGCAAAATTGCAAATTGAGTTTGTTGTAAATTTAGTAGCGTTTTTTTACTGAGAAACTCATAAAATTTTGGAAATTTTGTAAGATTTTATCAAAACTAAGTAGGGAATTCCAAAATTACTTCTGAAATTCACTATTTTTGCTTATTTTAATGAACTGAGGAACTTAATAAATTCTAGATTTTGCTAAAATAAAGCAGAAAATTGCGAAATTAGGTCTAAAAAGTTTTATTTTTACTTAATTCGATGTTTTAAAAAAAATTATCAAAAAAACTAAATAAATTTTTTTTTATTAAAAAGTAAAATATATTTTACCAAAACATGGCAAAAAATTGCAAAATTGACTCTAAAATGAGTTTGTTGGAAATTTAGTTGCGGTTTTTACCGAGAAACTCACAAAATTTGGGAAATTTTGTTAAAACAAGGTAAAAAATAGTAAAATTAAGTCTAAAATGTTTTATTTTTGTTTATGTATTTTTTGTAAGATTTAGAGCATTTTTCCTGCGAAATTAGCTGAATTTGAAAAATTTTCCCAAAACTATAATGCAAAAAATTGTAAAATTAAGTCTAAAATGTGCTATTTTTAAGTTATCAAGCGTTTTTACAATAAACTCCCAAAATTTGTTTGATTTTACTAAAACTAAGTAGGGAATTCAAAATTACTTCTCAAATTCACCATTTTTGATTATTTTGAAGAATTTAAAGAGTTATACTGAGGAACTTAATAAATTCTAGATTTTGCCAAAATAAAGCAAAAAATTGCGAAATTAGGTTTAAAAAACCTTATTTTTACTTATTTCGATAAGTTTTAAACATTTTTTTAATCAAGAAACTAAATAATTTAAAACGATTTTGCAAAACAATGCAAAAAATTGTAAAATTGTCTCTGAAATACGTTATTTTTTTATGATATTAGAAGCATTTTTCACCTAGAAACTTATAAATTCCTGAAATCTTGCAACAAGGCAAAAAATTACAAAATTTGTTCTGAAATGTAATATTTTACACTGAAGTAAACTTCCAAAAATAGTTTTTTTCGCGAATTTTACGCGATTTCGGAAAAATGCAATATATTTTTTTAACCACTGATTAAAAATTAATTTTATGTAATTAGTGGTCAGTTTTACATCATAATCTTTAATTTGAAAAATTGTCAAATAAATATTGTTTGTGTTTTTCTTTTAACTTTAGTTTGAAATCCTGGATCTTTCCATTAGAAAAGATGATAATGAATGGCTTTAAAATGGAAAAATTTTTATGTGGGATTTAATGCGTAATTATTAGACATTACTGTTCTTGTTTAAAACAGCTGGATGTAATTTGTAGCGGATTTATACGGAACTTAATAACACAAGCGCTAAATTAGAAAATAATTGTTACAGATTTTTACTTTTTTACGATTACCAACTAATTAAATTGAATTTTTAACGGAAAAAATGCGACATCTGTTTATTGGAGAAAATACATTTTAACTAACGAGAACAAAAAACCGAATAATTTCATATTTTATTTTTGTTAAAGTAGGTAAAGGAAATACCTTCTCTCTTTATAGGAGCAATCAATCTTCAAATAATTATAATTACGACAAGACAAAGCATTTCTCTTGTCTTTCCGGTAAATAAAATGGGTTGATCACCATGCTTAATGGGCTTTTTCAGCAAAAATACATTGATAAATGCGACATCAAGCATTGTGACACTTTTCTCTTTTGGTCTATTTCAGTACCTGAAACAAATGTCGCACTAAATTAAAAATTCCGGTTTTCAGGAAATTGCAACTGGTCTTAATCGACGAACATATGTTTATTTTAATTTTAAATCGGAGCGTTGTTCTTGGCGAAATTCATCTTCGTGTGTGACTAAAAGCTAATATCTCACGACTCTCATAAAACTGCTTGTTGTAATTTATTACAGCTGATTTTTTCACACACTAGGTGCAGCTTTGGGTGTGCTTTTTTATGTACCGTAAACACTTTCATCGTTTTTTCAGCTAAATTGCATCAATTTGCATTAAGGCTAAACTGGTTTTGGTTTGTTTCTAAAGCGACAGATGGCGCGGAATTTATTTATCTTATTTCTATTCAATTAAAATCTAGTTAAAATCTATCAGGAATTGCTTTATTTTGACTGAAAATTGTGATTTACTACGATTTCTGGCTTAAAATTGAACCAAATCGATTGGAAATTGCTGTATTTTGGTCAAAAATTGGGATCTAAGCAATTTTTTTTTATCAATTTTGTTTCAATTTTATGTTTTTTTAAATGTACTCGTATTATAAGGTGACTGATTTTTTTCTATTAAGTTTTTAATGGAGTTATGTTGCGACCTTGGTTCATACTTGTAGCCTAGATTTCAGCCCCTAGCAAACACACATTTCCACTTTTTTCAGCTTTCAGCTTTTTCACGTTTTCAGTTATCCCCTCACTCTATTAGAGTGCTCTTCAATGTGGATATTTAGGCGGCAAATTTTGTCAAAATTGCGTTTGCTTAAAACTAATAATAATTTTTCCAGTTTTTTTTGTCGTGTTTATTAGTACCATCACAAAAAAAAATCTCCTAGACGTTTTTTAAATTATTATGGAGATTTATTTAAAATTTGAATAAAAAAGCGATTAAAAAATCTAAGTGAATGTTCTAATTTAAAATTTGATTATTTTATAAAAAAATTAATGAGATTTTTGATATTTAGTGCTGCTTCGAGATATGAAGCCAGTGTTGCCAGGCCTGGTGAAATCTTTTGTAACAATTCGAATATCTGGTGATTTTTTTTCGAAATAAAAAAACTGTTGCAACATAAAATGAATACACTAATTTTTCAATTATTGATTTAGTAAATTAGGTCAAAAGAAATGAAACTTTTGTATCGTCTTTTTTGAGCATTTTCCACGTTTTTTAACCAAAAACTCGATTATTTCTCCAAATTGTCTCAAAAAAATTCCACAAAATAGGCCAAAAAATGAGTTGTTGTTTGCTTTTTTCGAGTGTTTAAGCACGTTTTTGAGATAAAAACAAATAAATTTCGAGAAATTTCGTTTACACAGGGTAAAAAACTACATACAAAATTAAACCGAAATTGACATTATTTTTTATATTGTTTCGTTCGACTTGCTTCGTTTTTGAACCAGAGGCTCATTTATTTTGCAAAATTTCACGCCAAAAAAATCACAAAAAGAATTGATTTTGACGTTATTTTCTTTGTTTTTGAGCAAAATTGAGATAAAATTAAGCCGAGAAACCACAAAATTTGGTCGAAAATTCTTTTAAACACGTTTTTGTGCTAAAATCTTAAGTTTTTCTCGAGATTTTGCCAAAACAAATTAATTATTTTTGCATTTCTAGAGCATTTTAGTACGTTTTTCATCTAGAAACGCAATTATTTGGCAATAAATAAGCTGAAAAATCACAGAAATAGAATGAAAATAATGTCATTTTGCATTTTACGAGACTTTAAGCAGATTTTTAAGCTGAAAACTTAGTTTTCTTTGGAGATTTTATTGCAATCAAAAATCACAGTGGTTTAAAAAAAGGATTATATTTACTCTTAGGCTTTAACTTAGTTATTTTCAAAAAAAAAATTCGATAACCACCAAGTTGGTTAAAAATAGTTTTATTTGTTTTTTACGAGATTTTACTAAACAGGGTGGAAAATGACGATTTACTTTTGCCTTTTTTTCAGTTAGAAACAATTATTTTGCAAAAGTTCCTCACAAACAAGCCAAAAACTCAAATTTATATGGGTCCAAAAGGGTGTTATTTTTGTCTTTTTAAGCACATTTTTGAGATAAAAACAATGGAATTCTAAAAACTTCATTATTCAGGCTAAAAAGTTATAAAATAAAATTGAATCACTTTGTTTTTGAATCAAAGGCTCATTTGTTTTGTTTATTTCACTCGATTTAACTGATTTTTGAGCAAAATTAAGACAAAAATAAGCCGAGAAATCACCAAATTGGGTCGAAAATGCTTTTCAACACGTTTTTGTACTAAAATCTGTTTTTTTTCGAAATTTTGCCAAAACAAATTAAAAAATCTAGTCGAAAATTGTATTATTTTTGCATTTCTCGAGCATTTTAGTACGTTTTTCAGCTAGAAACGCAATTATTTGGCAAAATTTTGTTAAAAACAAGCTGAAAAAACACAATTACAATGAAAATGATGTCACTTTGCATTTTGCGAGAGTTTTTAAGTTAAAAACGAAGTTTTTTTTGAGATTTTGTTATACCGAGTCAAAAATCACTAAGTTGTTACAAAAAAACGGTTATATTCTGTTTTTACGTAACTCTTAGGCGTTATTTCGTCAAATTTTCTCAAAAAAGTTGGAAAACCATCAAATTGGTAAAAAATAGTTCTGTTTGTTTTAGATTTTTCAGTTAGAGACACAATTAGAAAAATAATAAAATTAAATTGAAATTGATATAATTTTTTAGGTGGTTTCGCTTAAATTACTTTGTTTTTAAACCAAAGGCTCATTTATTTTGTTTGCTTCACTCGGTTTATCAGATTTTTGATCAAAATTGAGACAAAAATAAGCCGAGAAACCACAAAATTGGGTCGAAAAAGCTTTTAAACACGTTTTTGTACTAAAATGTCAGATTTTAAATTAAGCCGAAAATGGTCTTATTTGTGCATTTTTTGAGTGTTCCAGCTAAATATTATTAATAACAAGCCGAAAAATCACAGAATTAGTCCGAAAATGATGTCATTTCTACTTTTTTCGTGTGTTTAAGCCTTGTTTTTTATGAAAAAGTGAAATTTTCAAGTTTTCTTCATCCATCACGTCTTAAGTGGGTCATAAATCACCCCAATCGAGCCAAAAATCCATCGCATTGTTTGCTTCAAGTCGTAATTTCTGTTCCAGAATGTGGACCATAAAATGAAATACCGCTCAAAAAAAGGCCAACTCCCCTTCGTGGAGATAAATGGCGAGGAGATCGCCGACAGTACAATCATCATCAAAGAGCTTTCGCAAAAGTTCGGACACGATCTCGATGCTGCTCTCACTCCCGAACAAAGGAATATCGCTCACGCCTCCATCTCCATGGTCGAAAACCACCTCGCATGGGTGGTGATGTGGTGGCGTACCAAATATCCAGAACTAGTGCTCAAAGGATACAAAGTTAATTTGCAACACGCCCTAGGCACGAGGATACCCAACGGAATCCTCAACTTTTTCTTCAAATTCGCGTTCGGGAGGAAGGTAAGAGAAAAAATGGGGATGCTTGAGGGGGGAGAGGAGCACTCTGCACGCAGGAATAAACACCTAGAGAAGGTAACGCCAGAGGCGACCAAAGGTGGTGTTGCCAACAAACGTTTTTTGAAACTCAGTTACCAAATTTTCTCAAAAATAGGTTGAAAAATCGAAAAAATCGTCAAAAAGTACCTTATTTTGTCTTTTTCTGAGCGTTTTAAGTATGTTTTTAGACGGAAAACAGAACTATTTTGCAAAATTTCGTTAAAAAAACCGAAGATTTATCAAATTTATCAAAAATCGGGAGAAGAATTTCAAAATTACTTCTGAAATGCGTTGTTTTCAATTATTTTGATGTATTTTGTTGAAGTTTTGCTGTTTTTTTTTAATTAATGAATTTTTTTATCAAAAAACAAAACATATTTTGCCAAAACAGGGCAAAAAATTGCAAAATTGACTCCAAACTGTGTTTGTGTGTACATTTAGTGGCATTTTTTACCGAGAAACTCAACAAATTTTGGAAATTTTGTTAAAACAAAGTAAAAAATAATAAAATCAAGTCTAAAATGTCTTATTTTTGTTTATGTATTTTCTAAGATTTAATTATTTTCTATTCTCTACTCTCTATCTTTTGCTTTTTGATTTTCTATTTTCTGTTCTGTTCTTTTATTCAGTTTATTTTTTCTTCTTCTCTATTCTCTATTTCTTTTATTCTTTTTTTTAGTGTTTTCTGTTCTCTATTTTTACTATATTCTGTTTTTTGTGTCCTTTATTCTCTCTTCGCTATGTTGTGTGTTTCTTTTGTTTTTTCTTTGCTGTGTTTACAATAATTTTTTTTCTGTCTTATATCTTTTTTTGTAGTTTTAGAGAAAATAAATATTTTCTCTGTTCTCTATTTTCTCTCTTCTCTTTTCTTTTCTTTTTTTGTGTCGTTAATTTTCTCTTCCCTCTGTTGTGTATGTCTTTTGTTTTTTCTTTGTTGCGTTTCCTATTTTCTATTTTTTTGTTCTTTATTATTTATTTTCGGTTTTTTCCTTTTTTCTCTATTCTCTCAATTCTTTTCGTTACTCTGTTTTACTTTTTTTCTGTTTTTGAATGAAAAGGACGTTCTTTGTCAAAATTGACTCGAAAATGAGTTTGTTGTAAATTTAGTAGCGTTTTTTACCGGGAAACTCACAAAATTTGAGAAATTTTCTTAAAACAAGGTAAAAAATAAAATAATCAAGT